AAAAATTTAAACTTAGGCTGGGCACAGTGGCTCATGCCTGTAATCCCAGCACTTTGGGAGGCCGAGGCAGGTGGATCACGAGGCCAGGAGTTCAAGACCAACCTGGCCAAGATGGTGAAACTCTGTCTCTACTAAAAATACAAAAATTAGCTGGGCATAATGGCGGGTGCCTGTAATCCCAGCTACTCAGGAGGCTGAGGCAGAGAATTGCTTGAACCGGGAGGTGGAGGTTGCTGAACCAAGATCATACCACTGCACTCCAGCCTGGGCAAGAGAGTGAGACTCTGTCTCAAAAAAAAAAACTTAGCTGGGCATACTGGGGTACACCTATAGCCCCAGCTACTCAGGAGGCTGAGGTGAGAGAATCACTTGAGCCCAGGAGGTTGAGGCTTCAGAGAGCCACAATTGCACCACTGCACTGCAGCCTGGGCGACAGAGTGAGACCCTGTCTCAAAGAATAAAATAATAAAACAAATGAAAAATAAAAAACAAGGGTCCCTATTTGCAGCATTGTCCCAAGGACTGAACGAGGTGATACCTGAAAGGTGTCCAGTCCAGTGACAGCACATAGCAGCTGCTCAGTAAGCGACAGCATTATGATCGGTGATTGGATATGAATCTGGACGTGGGAATGACTGCATACAAGCACTCATGACGGACTGCCAGGGCGTGATACCTGTCAGCTCAATCACACACCAGAGGGCTGTGCATCTCGGGACTCACCCCCAGGTGGTCCTCCCTGGCGCTCCACCATCAGGAAAAAAGCAGAGAGCAAAGGAACCCCCAGACAGTGCTTCCCATCCATGCCGCCCCCGTCCCCACCACCCCTACAGCAAGCACACAGCCACCCATGTGCCCCTCTAGCCCCGTGACCAACTGGCAGCCCCTCCCCTCCCTCCACTTTGCATCTGCTCAATTAGGGAAACTGGGGAGCGAGGGAAACAAAGACTTAATTTCTGAGCTAATCAGCCTGACTCATACTAATTACCATCCTCTCGGGCATTAGGGCAGACTTCCTGGGGAAGGCTGAGGGGAAAGCTGGTCCCCAGGAATGATACTCACTTCCCCTAAAGCCTGAGATCCCAGCAATGGGGGGGTGCGGGGTGACTGGGAGGCTTGAGCAAGTGAGATTTCAGGGTGGGATGAAAGTGACATGGTCAGAAGCAGGAGACAGAGTCCACTGGGCAAAGCAGGGAGGTGACCGTGGTCATAGGGACAGCTCCACCTTCCCAGAGTTCCCGCCCCATCCTCCGGGCAGCCACAGGCTGGGGGGAGGCCCAGAACAGGTGCCCCAGTGGGCATGCAGCCCATGGCCGTAGCCAAGAGGACAGATGGACAATTTGAGGCTGAATAATTGAGCAATGATTGGGGGAAGCTTTTGGATCATGGCCTACTCTGTGTGTGTGTGTGTGTGTGTGTGTGTCTGTGTGTGTGTGTGTGTGTGTGTCCCCTATGTGTACATGAGCGCACAGAACAAGAGGGCTTCGGACTGGGAGCCAGGAAGCCCGGGTTCAATTCCCTGCTCGGGCTCTCAAAGTCCTTGTGCCTCTGAAATTCAGGCTTTACCATAAGCAAACTGGAGGGCACAATTTTTAGAAATCATTTCAGACGTGAAAACGGGGCCACCTATTCTTCAACAAATGATTATGGAGCCCCTACTGTCACGCAGCCGGCCCTGTGCTGGCACCACAGGCACATTCGGGAACAAGACAGACCAGGTCCCCATCCTCACGGCGCTTTCTCTGTGGTGGGGGAGCCCGGGGGTAAACGCTGAAATCAGGAAACAAGAGCTTGGGTGTTGGCAGATAGAGGAAACTGCTCTGTAGAGACTTGGCCCATAGGAAGTGGGCAAGTGAAGGGGCCACCGCAGGTAGCGTTTTCATGAAAAGCCATAATGGCAGCATTTTTCAGAAAAGGCCTGGCCCAGAGCGGCAGCTCACGCCTGTAATCCCAGCACTTTGGGAGGCCAAGGTGGGCAGATCACGAGGTCAAGAGATAGAGACCATCCTGGCCAACAGGGTGAAACCCCATCTCCACTAAAAATACAAAAATTAGCCGGGCGTGGTAGTGGGAGCCTGTAGTCCCAGCTACTCGGGAGGCAGAGGCAGGAGAATCATTTGAAACCAAGCGGCAGAGGTTGCAGTGAGCCGAGATCGCGCCACTGCACTCCAGCCTGGCGACAGAGAGAGACTCCGTCTGAAAAAAAAAAAAGAAAGAAAGAAAAGGCCCTACCCAGCAATCAAAACTGCAGATCATCCAAACTCACGGAGGGACTCAGAGCAACTCCCCTCCCTTCTCCGGACCTCTGTCCCATGCACACAACGAGACAGAGCTGGATGAGACGCTGTCCAAGGCTGATTCTCACGAGTTTCTGCATGGCGGGTGCGTAAATGAGGATGTACGCGTGATCCCCAGGGGCTGCGGTACAGCCCACACATTTATGTATACACACACAGGACTGCCTCGGCCCCAGTCCTGGGCCCAGCTGTGCGACGTATATAGCAGGTAGACAGGTGTGTGCCTGATAATGAGAGGGGCGGAGCAGCACCTGCACCAGGGCCCATCAGCTTCCAATCACAGGCTCTGTGGTCCGCACTCCAAGGGACACACTCGGCTCCGCTGGCACAGGTGTCCCTTCAACTGCCACCCTCGCACCTGGTCATGGGGCCTTCACAGCTGCCCACCACATACAGAGCACCTGAGCCTCACTGCACAGAATTCTCATAACAGCCCAGCCAAGCAAGGGCTGTTACCCTGTTTTACAGATAGGGAAACTGAGGCTCAGCTAGGTCAAGTCACTTGCTCAGTAAATGATCAGCCAGGCACTCAAATCGGGCCTGATCCCAAACTGCCACCCCTACTACCATGTGCCAGGACCTTCTTCCGGGACCCCCCTCAAGGCTCAAACCAGGGGACCAGGCTGGCCCAGCCCTGCCCAATAACTGCCTTCCAGGGATTGCCAAGCACCCAACACAGCAAGGCGGTCAGCTTCAGATGGCCAGGTTCAAATGCCGATTTCATCACCGAGTTGCTGTGTGACCGTGGGTAGGACCCTTAACTTCTCTGTTCCTCGGTTTCCCCATCTATCAAGTAGGGATGGTGACAGTATCTATCTTGTTGGGTAGTTGTGAGAATTTTGCTAAGTTCTCTAAAGTTCTTAGAACAGTGCCTGGAACATGGTGTGATTTAGTGTTGTTGATAAAAGGAAGATATGATTCCCTTTGATTCTGTGAATGGCCTGCCAATTGGGTTCCACAGCAGGTAAGAAGCAGAGCTTCGATTCAAAGGCTGAACTCAGGACTCCCTGTCCAGTGCTCTCTCCCTACAGCATCAGGGTACCTTCAGCCAGTCCAGGGTAGCTTCAGCTTGTCCAAGGACTGGCCCAGGCTTAGGCTCGAGGAAAGACAGTCTGTGAGGAAGTCTAAAGGGAGACAGGGATGGGAGCCGCAGGCCAGGGCCAGATACTGCTCCAGCTGCCTCATCTCCCCGCTCTGTGCCTGGCACTCCCCTCCTGGCCCCACCCCCAGCTCCAAAAAGCCCCTCACTCCTGTGGGTGCTCAAGGACCCTGGGAAGCGCCTGGGCCCTGAAGCAGCTCCCCATAGCCCCAAGGAGCCCAAGCCCAGTGATCCTGGGACACAGCAGGTGGACAACAGCAGGGAACCGTGTGGCCTCCCAGCACCTGCTACCGCCTTCCAAGTCCCAGAGTGCTCTGTCCCCAGAGACGGCCGGGTTCCTGGCCCTAGACCCTCACACCTACCTTTTCCCAGGTCCCAGGGAAGCAGGTGGGAATCCCAGCCAGAATGGGCTCCTACCTAAAGTGTTCAGCCAACTGCGGGAGAAGCCCAGACATCCAACCCTTAGCCTTGGAAGCAGATCCCCAAAAACCAGCCCACCCATGCCCCAGGGCAGCCTGCCGGGTCAGAGCAAGGGGCGCAATTCTGAAGTCAGGCACTTCAGATCTGAAGCTGGTTAAAGTGGAAAACGTGCCAACAGCCCAGGCACCCACCACCCACCACAGGGAAATGTCCTTGCAAGGAAAGCCCATTCCAAGGCGGATTTGGACCCAGATCGCGCTGCACCCCTGAGGAGGGTGCTCAGGGTGCAGTCAGGGGCCGAAGGAGGGTACAGGGCCAGCTGTGAGGAGAATCCCTCCTGGGTAAGAACAGATGGCATACATGTGTTTGTAGGTGCCGGGAGACACGGGCCAGTGACAGCCTCTGGGGAAGAGGCCTTGGGAACAGGCAGTGGCCCATTCCTTTCTGTGCATGCTGAGAGCATGTGTCAGTTCCCCAGGTAGAAGGGGTTTGTCTGTCTGCATATCATTCTACATGTACATGCCCCAAAAGCCAGCAAATGCACAAAGATCACCAGGGCGCACACGCACACACGCACACACGCACCTGCCCATGCGTGCCCAGCTTCGGTCCAGCCAGCTCCCTCCTGCGGCCTGAGAGAGAGAGAGAGAGACAGGCGGCTGTGGCAAACAGACAGGGCAGGGCCAGAGAGACAAGTGAGCAGAGACAAAGAGACAGGTAGAGAGACAGAAACAGAACGCAGGAGCTCAGCCCCAGGGTGATCCTGCTCAGAGCAGCCGCTTCAGGCTGGTCCAGGGACTGCGGGAAGTGAAAGCGCCCAAGACGAAAGCCAGGAACCCCAGCTCCGCCCTCAGCCTGGTCACTTGCTGTGGTGTGGCCCCGAGCCAGCACCTCACCTCTCTGGGCTGCAGCCTGCCCACAAGCGCGGGCAGTGGCAGGGAGACCTGCTGGCTCTGGGTTCCGAGTTCCCCGTCAAGCCCCCGCTTCCCCTCTCCCAAACGGTCCTGAGAACAGAGTCCAGGCCTGCAGCCATCTCAGCCCAGCCAGGATCCCACTCTCAAAGCCCCTCCCGCTCCTGCCATCAGCCACAGCACCAAATTGGAGAGGGGCAAGCCGAGCACTGACCGGACACGGGCGTGGATACCGCTGTTTTCCTGCCTCATCTCACCTAATTCCCATCACAGCCCGCATTCCATTCTACCACATGAAGGAACCGAGGCTCGAAGGATGATCAGGCCAGAGCCCCGAGGCCAGCAGGGGATGAATATGAATGAGTTGGGATGGAACCTAGGTCCCCGGCTCCTTCCTCACATCCTATTCAGCAGGCAGCAGTAGGGGCCACAGAGGCAGACACCCTCACATTTCCTGACCCAGCACCCAGACCCGGGACTCCACAGGCCCCAGCCTGTCTCCAGCAGCCTCAAAGGTGATGCTGAAATGGCCCCTGAAGCCCTGCCTCCCTGCTTCGACCACCAGGAAACCCGGCAGCAAGCCCAGGGCTGGCATTCCTGAACACTCCCTGCATGCCAGGAGTGGCACCAAGCGCCTCATAACATCACCCTTGGGGGGTGGGTCTACTTTTATTCCCGTTCGACAGGTGGGGACACAGAGGCACATATAGGTGGGGCAACTCATCATGGGTAGAATCGGGAATCAACAGCTGGTCCCGAGGGCTGGATCACTGCGTCACCCCGTCCTGCAGCCCGGGAGCTTTCCCACTCTGACCTGCCACCCCCAAGCCAAGGAGTGTCTCACAGGACAGCAAAGGCCTCACCCCAGAAGCTCTGCTTAGGTCAAGGGCCCTTGACCCACCACCACTGGGGCACCCCAGTGCCCACCCCTCTCTGTAGCCCGTCTCCTCCCAGGATGAGGCTTGGGGTCCTGGAAGGCCCCCACCTCCATCCTTGAGTTCCAGCCCAGGGTGAGGAGGGGAAGGAAAGAAGGTCTGTGTCTCCCCACAAACCTCAGACAGTGTCCTCTGGGACAGGGGCTGTCCTCTGCCTGAGCTCCAGAGAGAGAGTGGGGTAGGCAAGACTCACACAGCAAGCGGGAGGCAGGAAGGGGCCCACAGCCCCTTATCTCTCCACCCAGCTCAGCCCAGAGGGCACCCTACCTCCTATGCTGGGTGGGTTGGGCTGTGACCCAGTGTGGAGACAAGGGTGGGGCTATGGGTTCTCAATAGCTTCTAGAACTCCTCGGGCCCTACCATGCAGCCCCCGGCAACCCTGTGGGCCTACTATGTGCAGATAGTCCCATCTCCAAACCTATTTCACTCCAGCCCCTCCAGGAGCCTGGCAGTATCCCCATTTCACAGATAAGCAAACTGGGACCAGGGCATGTGACCACTCAGGCATGAGATCTAACTCACAATGCCTGCTTCCCACCACCAAACAGGGCTTCCTGCAGCCCCTGCCCCAATCCAACTGCTCCCTGTCCCCAGGGATTGCCTCCTCCAAAAAGAGTCTTCCCTGAGCTCCAGAACCTTCACTCAGTGGACCATCTCTCCTCCGACGTTCGGAAAGCAGACTGAGGCAGGGCACAGTGGCTCATGCCTGTAATCCCAGCATGGGAGGCTGACGTGGGCGGATCATCTAAGGTCAGGAGTGTGAGACCAGCCTGGCCAACATGGTGAAACCCCGTCTCTTCTACAAATACAAAAAAGTTAGCTGTGCATGGTGAAGCTCATCTATGATCCCAGTACTTGGGAGGCTGAGGCAGGAGAATCACTTGAACTCGGGAGGTAAAGGTTACAGTGAGCCAAAATTGTGCCACTATACTCCAGCCTGGGCAAGAGAGCAAAACTCCATCTCAAAAAGAATAAAAAAAAAAAAACAAGCAGACTGAGCCCAGCACACCCACAGTGCCTCCACCCTCCGACTGGGGCTCCTGGGAATTGAGGCTCTATCTCCCTCAGACAGGGAACTCCCCTTCCCAAAGACTAGGAAGTCAGGAGGATATGACCTCTCCTCCAGCACCCCCATCCAAACAGCCCCCCACCCGATAGCAGGACTCTGCCCCAAAGAGCCAAGCAGGACCCCAGGCCACACCTCGGCCCCTGCTCTCCCTTCTTCCTGGCGAGCTTCCAGGCCTGGCCAGTGCCAGGCAGGCTACCCTCCCCACCACCAGGCCCTGTCCATGAATCCCACCTCTGTTGGGCACCACAGACCCCCCTTTCTCCTCCCCAAACAAATGGGGTGTTGAGCAAGGCATCAGGATAGCCTCTCACAAGGCCAGATCTATTCTCTGGACTGGCGTGGCTGCCAGCAGGGTGGGCAGCCAGGCTGGGGAAGCAGCCTGTCCCTTCCACAGCCCCTCCAGGTCCAGCTTCTGCCACTGGGGCCCAGCACTCTAAGCTCATCCTGGCAAGGCTGGGAGAGGCAGCCCCCTCCCCAGGTGACCCAGGAGTGGGTCTGGGCCAGGAGCCCCTAACCATGCTCCCCACTTCCTCTTCTCTCCCTTCCTCTGACACAGCATGGGCAGGGACCTCTGGGGGCAGGTCCAAATCCCTGCTCACACCCTGGAAGAAAAACTCTCCAGGTCTCTGTCTGGTCATTTGTAACCGGCTGTGACAAATGTGCAGGGGCTCCTGTGGCCACAGAAGGGGTGGGGTCCAGGCAGAAAAGCCCAGCACACAAGGGGTAGGGTCCAGGCAGAAAAGCCCAGCACAGAAGGGGTGCTCAATCCCAACCTGGTTTTCTCTCACCTTTATTCCCTCTTCTGGCCTAGCGGGATAAGAGGTGGGGCTGCAGAAGCAGAGGTGAGAGGGCACAGGCTGGCAGGGCAGGACACCACCTGTCCCAGGCACGTAAAATGTTGCCTATTTGGAAGCCAAAGTCTCAAACCCCTCTATAGCCGGCAGTGAGGCCTCTTAAGACGAGACTGGTGAAGGCTCCCAAGACCCCACAGCCAGCCTGGGCAACACAGTGAGACCCCATTTCTTAAAAAAAACAAAAAACAATTAGCTGGGCGTGGTGGCATGTGCCCATAGTCCCAGCTACTCAGGAAGCCGAGATGAGCAGTTCACTTGAGCCCAGGAGGTCAAGGCGGCAGTGAGCCATGACTGTGCCACTGCGCTCCAGTCCAAGTGACCGAGCAAGATCCTGTCTCGAAAAAAAAAAAAAGATCCCACAGCCCATTCATGGTGACATTGGGGAGGAGGCCTCAGAGCCAAGCCACAAATCAAAGCTCAAAGCCCACTGCCTCCTAGAACCCAGCCTAGATAGTATTCCGATTTTACAGACAAGTAAACTGAGGTACGCAGTACTTAAGTAATTTGCCTGAGGACACACAGCTAGTGAGCATCTCCATCGATTTCTTCTGGTGATTCAGGCTGCTACCAAAGGCTGTTCATTACAGCACAAGCATTCCCTGTCTAAGAACCTTCTGTGATTTTGACTCTGCCTCCAGAGTCAGGTCCCAGTTCTTTAGCCAGAAATGCAAGGGCTCCCAACAAGTTGGTATACAGCAGCAGAAGACAGGACTGGACCTCGGGTCAAATGCCAGGCCTGCCACCCACATCCTGCCGTGTACCCATGGAAACTTACCAGGCCCCCCTGGCCTCACCAACCTTTGTATAAAATGGGAATAGCAAGACTGCCCTCCCAGGGTGGCTGGTGGGGTTACCTATCCCACCAGCCATATGTGTGTGAGCACATGTGTGTGTGAGCATTCACACATATTTACTGAACATCTACTATGTGCCAGGGCCCATTCAAGGCACTTGGGATAGAGCAGAGAACAAGACCAAAAAAGCTGCCTTCAGGGAGCTGACACTCTACAGGGGTGGGAGGGCAGAGAGTAAGCAAGCAAATAAAACAGCATCAAATTGTGTTCAGAGCTCTAAGAAAACAGAGGCAGGAGGCCAAGAGCAAAGGACAGGGTGGTCAGGGAGGACTTCCCGAGGAGGTGACAATTAACCAGAGCAGGAGACAGCCATGCACTGAGCCAAGGCAGCAGCAGTGAGCACAGAAGGAACAGCAAGGTCAAAGGCCAATAAATCCAATGAGATCTGGAACCTGTGGGAAAACGCCTGGCACATAGCAGATGCTCAGTGAACCGCAGCTGTCAGCATCATGGCTGTACACCTCTCAAACCCCTTGCTCCTTGCGTTCCTCCTCTGGAAACCAGGTTGCTATACAGCTTGAAGTACACCCTAGTTCTCTTCCACATCCCTTCATTCACTTAAAGTAACCCTGCTTCCACTGGTAGTCCTCCCATTTTGCAGGTGAGAAAACTGAGGTTCCCAAGACCCCAGAGCGCGTAAATGGCAGCATTGGGACATGAACCTAAGTCTAGTGCTCTCAAACCCCATGTTCCTGGCAGCCTTGGGCAGTCTCACTTACAAAGTGAGCTCACTACATTCCCCCTTCCCATCCCGAGACAGCTCAGGCTGTCAGAAAGTCTCCAGCATGAGCTGAGGTCTCAGCCCGCCCTTTGAGGCCACCCAGGACAGCCCTCTCTCCTCCTTCCCAGGCCACCTGACATGTTAGCAACTGCCACCCAGAGCACCTCCCAGTGCCAAGCCCTGTGCCTTACTTTGTCCCCTGGCCTTGCACCAGCAAGGGGAAGTGGGGATTCTTATCGTCCCCATTGTACAGGTAAAGAAACTGAGGCCCGGAAACGTAGAGAAACACACCCAGGGACACCAGTCAGGAAAGCGGCAGTGTTGGGATTTGAACTCAGGCCCTCATCACTTAAAAGACATTCATCCATCACTTCCCGGCCTCTCAAATGGCCCTCTTTGGGCATCCCCCTCAGTCCCCTGCCTGGCCTGTCCCCCTGGTGATGCCAAAATGGTAGACAGGGCAGACTTCCTTCTCCTGACTCGGTTATTCTCAGGGCACCACCAGCCACGTGCCTCGAACACTGCGCCCGAGGCCAGGGCTGGCAGAGCAGCTCAGGGCACCTGAGTCCCACAAAAGAGACCAGTGGGCAGGGACTCAGGCAACAGCTGTGGGGACAGGGCTCACCTGATTAAAGTGCACACACAGGCCCTGGGGCAGGTGGGACAAGAGCACCAGAGAGGGAGCCTCCCACACCTGGCTCCATCCTGGCTCAGCCACTGGGGCACTATGTGCCCATCAGGAGGTTTTCTGCCCTTCTGGCCCCATTCCTGTTACCATGAACTCAGAACCACATTCCCACCGCTAAGGGTCATGGGAAGGGTACGATGCCACAGAACCCTAGTGAGATCTGGCTGCCCCAAGCGTGTCAGAAAATCATTTTGAAACGATTTTTTTTTTTAGACAAAGTCTCAGTCTGGCGCAATCTTGGCTCACTGCAACCTCCACCTCCTGGGTTCAAGTGATTCTTCTACCTCGACCTCCCAAGTAGCTGGAACTACAGGCGCGTACCACCATGCCTGGCTAATTTTTGTATTTTTAGTAGAGACAGGGTTTCACCATGTTGGCCAGGTCTCAATCTCCTGACTTCATGATCCACCCGCCTTGGCCTCCTAAAGTGTTGAGATTACAGGTGGGAGCCACCGTGCCCAGCCTTTAAAATGACTTTTAAAGGTAACGATGATGGTGGTCATGGTGATTCCCAGTTACTGAGAGTCTGTTACCTACCAGGAGCCACACGAGGGACATCACATCCATGAGCCCAAATAACAGCCACCCTGGGAGGCGTGTGTTTCATCTCCATTTTACAGAGGGGGAAACTGAGGCAAGAGGTTCTCCACCGTAAAACCCAGAGCCAGGTTGCAAACCAAGAACTTGGTGCTCTCCTATGTGGCTTCCTGTTGTTAGAATTTGAATGAAATGCTACTTCAGGAGAACCCCTGGGACTCGGGGGAAAGAAGGGACTCAACAGTGTCAGAGAGACAGGCTCCCCCAGGGAAGAAGTTAGGCCTGCTGAGTTGGGTACTCATGGAGGGAGATGCCCCCAGAGCACGCTTGCTGTGTGACCTTGGGCAAGTCACTCCCTCTGTCTGATAGTTCAAAGGCAGGTACCAATGCTGGGCTCCCCAGAGAATGGCACTGGGTCAACAGGTCCTCAGCAAACATGAAGGATGGGGTCAGAGTCACTATGGGGACAGAGTCACTATGGGGACAGTCACTTGGGGGCAAGAAAGGAGCATGTGCCCAGATGAGAGACTCGTGTGATCACAAGGCCCTGGGGAGTGGGAGGGCTCAAGGAGGCAGAAGTGGGAAGATCGTGGCCGTAGAAGTGGGAGGGAGGACTGGGCAGAGGTGCTGGGAGGATGCATGCACTGGTGCAGCAGGGTCTCCAGTCTGTCCACAGGGACAGGCAGGATAAGCACAGACCCACCCGCTGTGCCTCACTGCCCACCCCTCCGCCACCAAGAAGCCCCACCTCAGCCTGTGACAGCAACAGCAAGTCCCTGCAGCAGCCCTTCCCCCACCACACCTCCTCGTCCTCCAGGGAGCATCCACCACCCTGCACAAGCCCCTCCAGAAAGCCCATCACTATCCCTTTCCTGGGGACCTCCAACACCTCGACAGCCACAGCCCTTCCACGTGGGGACCACCGCATCTTGGAGACAGCATCTCCCTATCCTTAGCAACCACCAACACTGTGCGCAGCCAGCCAGCCTCCTTCCTCTGTCTCCTCCTCTCTCCACGGAGACCACAATGCCACAGAGGCGGCTCCTTCGCCACGGCAACCACCGTCACTCAGCGCCGCCTGGACAACAGCTCCCTCCACGTGGCCACCACCAACAGAGCCTCTGTGACAGCCCCAGCCTCTCCTTTCCTCTCCACAGCAGCCACCAGCCCAGCCAGGATGGAGCAGCTCCTTCTGCCTGCCTGTCTGCCTGCTTGCGGCCTCCTAGTGCCAGACTGCTCTCCCTGCGCCTCCAAAATTCAATGACACAGGATCAGGCCCCACTTCAATTCCACTGGTGTTTTCCCCTCCTCCCAGCTCACTCGCAGCCCCTCTCTCTGTAATGGGAAGACCCCCACCTGAGACCCCCACCATGCTCTCCCAGGCCTTCCCCTGGAAGCTGGCTCTCCACTCCCAGCAGGTGCACAGATGTCCCCTGCCCTGCTGGGGTGCAGACTAGGCCTGGCTCAGCCTCTCCACCAGGTGATGGGCAGAAGCTGGGGTCTCTGAGCCAGCAGGGGCTTCCAGCCCGCCCTCCCCAGTGAACCTGACTTAGCCCCCAGTAGGCCTGCCACTCTGCAGGCTGCCTCACAGGCCCTGTGAAAGGACAGCTAGGTGGGAGGGGTGCCCATGGCTGGGGTCAGGGGCTGGGCCTGCAGGAAGGAACACACAGGAGCCTGAGGCTGGGACACATCACAGGTTTGCAAGGCCAGGCAATGTGAGCTGTGCCCACAGACAGACACACACACACACACACACACACACACACACACACACACAGGCAAAAGGACCCTGTCCTTACCAGATGTCTGCAGCAGAGGAGGCCCCTCCGGCACTGTCCCCAACCTGGGTCTCAGAAAGGTCCCCCAGGCAGCAGCGGCAGCAGTAGCAATGAGATCTCAGGTCCTGGCCCAGCTCGGGTGGCAGCAGCTCCTCACCAAGTCCTCTCCTTCTGCAAGGAGGCGAGGGGGAGAGAGGGGAGGGAGGGAGAGAAGGGGAGGAGAGGGAGGGGGGACAGCAGGAGGGAGGGAGGAGGGAAAATGCTTAAGTCTTGAAGGGTACACTCACTTCTTTCTTGGGTTTCCCATGGCAACCGAATATACCACAAATGAATATCAGGGTGAGACAGAGGGAGGAGGCAAAGGGAGAGCAGGAATGGAGGGAGATGGAGGAGAGATGGAAAGAAAAAGAAATAGAGAGATGGGGGAGACTGATTGGGGAGAGATGGAGAGATTGCAGAGAGAGATGGAGGCAGAGACGTGAAGGCACAGAGATGGAGAGATGGGGCAGGGAGAGGAGAAGAGATGGAGGTAGAGGCAGAAGGATGATGAGGCAGGAGAGAGGGAGGGCTGCGGCTTCCCATCGTAACCCATGAGCTCAGGGGCCAGGGGAGAGGCCAGGGGTCACAGGGCTTCTTTCAAGCCCTTGGCAGGAGGAGCAAGCACAGATGGGTGAGTTTTCTCAGAACGAAGGGGCCCCCACTCCCACCCCTCCACCTTGTCCCACACTCCCTACTGGGCTCCACAGCCTGGAGGTGCCTCCCGAGTCACATCCCAGCCTCACGCCCCACTCACAGCCACGGTCACACATGTCACACCCACGTGTATGTGCACACACACCCCACACTCCCGTGACACGCAGTCCCCACACAGACCTCACCCCTCCATGCCCAACCACCCCCTCTCCTGTCGGTCACTCAGATCACCAGTGCCACCCACTGCCCTCATCAGCCGGGCCCAGGGAACAAAGATACCCTCGCCCTCGGCACATCCTTTCCTCTTCAGAACTCTACCAGGACTGGCACATGCCTTCCCCTATGTGCCTAAGCTGTGCCCGGACAGGTGCGATGCCTCTCCCCCACCTTCCCGCCATATGGGCTCACACACAGCCTGAGAGCACAGTACCTGGCTGACCTCCACCTGCACAGACCGGCGCTCCCAGACAGACGGGCCTCAGTGGAACCTCGCCTCCATCTGCGCGCACACATGCACACACACAGCCCTTCCCGAAGAGGCCCCTCTCCCTGTCCTGCCCGGCACTCCACCAGCCCAGATGGTACTCTTGGCCCTCCTCCGCAGGCAGGGGCTCACACCTCGGCCCCCTCGGCATTGCTATTCACAAACATATGTAGACCCACCAAGCGCTGGCAGCCAGCGGTGCCCTACGGAAAATAAACACACACTTGGGCCTCCCCTCCCCCACCTCCCTCGCTGCCTCGACTCCCTCACCCCCACCCAAAGGCAGAGAACTAGAAGGGCCGACTTCCTCCAGGAAAGGCTCCCAGGCCTAGCTGGGGGCACACAATTGACCCTGCACCCCTCAGCCAACCCTGCGCCCCTCAGCCAGCAGGGATGGGAAAGCACCCCAGAGGCACACACTATACGCAAACACACACCGCATGGGTCCAGGAGCACACACAGGACATCCCACCGCTGCAGAGAAACGCGAATCACAGACCCAAAGACCCCGTGGGCCCAGAGACCAAGGTGCCCTGCACACAGCTGAACCAGCACACAGGGGCGCCCCACACAGACACACTCCCCAACACGCAGGCCCACGCTGATGCCAAAATGCATGGCGCCACTGCACAGACGCACGAACCAGGGGCACCCTGGACTGCCCCTCCATAGGTTCCCCAAGAACACCCAGAAAAACGTGCCCAAGGGCACGGGGCCCCCAACATAGACACACGCCAAAACATACATGCTCCAAGCATGCCCACACGCAGGGAACCACTCCCGGACACACGTGCCTATGAACATGTCCCCACACACCCCCAGCACAGCCGCACCTGCACGCCACAGCGCTCCCGGGACAGTTCACGCGGCGCGTCCCCATGCCGTCCAAACCCACCTGGCACACACGCCCCCTCGCCAGCAACTCGCCAGGTCCCGGCTCCGGCCGCCCCCTATGCCCCTGCCGGCGGCTTTCGGATCCCTTGCACGGCGCAGAGCCCAGAGGCTGCGAAATTGGCTGCGAGCGTCAGCGGCTGCGGCTGCAAATTCTAAGCACAGGCAAGTACGGCGGAGAGCCGGGCCGGTCCGGCGCAAGTTCCGGAGGCTGGCGGGGCAGACCGAGGCCGGCGGGGGACCACCGTGCAGGGGTGGAGAGCGCGGCGGGGTCGGCGCGGGGGGCGGTGCGGCCCCGGCGGAGCGCTCTTGCCCCCACCGCTCCAGTTCCGCAGCAGTCCCCGCCCGCCACCTCCTCCGGCCCCGCCGCCACCGCGCGCCCACCCTGTGCGCCCCCCACGCCGTGCGACCCCGGGACGGACACGCCCGCTGCCCGCCAGACCCAGGTCTGCCTCCACTGCTACGCGGCTCTGCGTCGCCTCCTCCAGGACGCCTCCTCTGCTCTTCGCCCTCCTCGCCGCTTCTCTGCCCTCACCTCCACCTCGGCCTCTGGCCTCTGCTCACAGGCACAGCCGCAAGCTCAGCTCCACCGGCGCCCTCGCTCCATAGGAAGAGAGAGGGAGGGCATTCGCCCTGTGCGAGGTGCTGGGGCGGGCCCCCTCCAGCCCCACTTCATCCCGACCACACTTTAGGCTGCTAACGTGCCTAGCGTTAGCAGCTGTGCGGCCTCGAACCCGTGACCGCACACTCTGTCTCCGATTCCTCCTCCATGCAACAGGAATGATGTAGAGGGGCGTTATGAGGATTTAATGAGGGGCTCCTTACACAGGCTTAGAGCAGCAGGCAACGACCACGGAAGATGATTGGTCAGTATTGTTAGTATCGGCCCGTTTTGCTGCTGTGGCACCGAAGCTTAGGCACTTCTCTGAGCTCAAGCTCCTCCTCTGGAAAATGAGGATGGCTTTGCTGGCTCAGGAGGATTCTGGGAGGAGTCTCAGAGACCCCGGGGAACATGCAGCTGCCATCCAACCGGCAAATGTGGGTGAATTAATCTTCGGGAAAGCATTAAAATTGCAAGTTCCTGGGCCCCTCGTCGACTCTCCCAATCAAAATCTCAGTGGACCGGGCCCAAGCATCTGCATTTTAACCAACGCCCAGAGATTCTAATGCCCCCTGACAAAAAGGATATTGCTCAGTTTCTTGGCGCAGCATGGATAGTTTGGTGTGGTTGATCCTCAAACTACATGTCCAGACTCCTCTTCTCAAAATCCACTCTGGGCTTCCCCACCGCCAGGCCCCTGCTCACACGGTCACCCCATCTGGCACGCCCCCCACTCAGGGGCAGCCAGGACCTCTTTCACAATCCTCCGGCCAAAATTAAACAACATAAGAGAGAGTGCCTTGCCCAATATCTGGCAGGTAGCAGGTGCACAATCAAGGGAGTTCTGCAGAGCCCAGAGCAGAAGTCGGCGCAACGTCTCCAGCCCTTCCCGAGAGGCTCACTCCACACCTGGCTTCCAGCCTGCAGCAGCAACCCCCTCTCACAGAGGAACCCCCTCTCCTCAGTCAGGTCACAGAGGAACAAGAATCACCTGTCAAGCAGGCCCCACTGTGTGCAGACCCCATGCTGGCCACTTGCCAGGGGTGCCTGTGCCCCACCTCTCCTCCGGGGCCCTGAGCTCCCCCAGGCAGGAGCTCCTCCCTGGGGGTTCCTGCCTGAGCTCCAGGACTCGGCATTCCTCCCTGGGTGAAACATGCTGATAAGAGCATGTGTGCCCCTGCCATCTGAATGCAAAATGCAGCGATCTGTCCTCGGTAGCATGTAGATGAAAGGAATTTGTTTAATAAGTATTTTCTTGAGGGCCTACCAGTCTCTGCCTGCACAGAGCTGACACGCAGTGGGATAAATAGACAGGAAATAGACAGATGCAGGAAATCCCCTGAGGAAGGAGAAAGGCCAAGAAGGGAGGGAGGCAGGTAGGCTGATCCCACAGCCTCTGTCTCTCCAAGATTCAGAAGTAATTGTAGGGGGAGAGGGATGACAGACAGGTCAAGGGAGGAAACTGAGTCAGGCCTGGGTCTTGGGACTAGGCCCACAGCAAGCTGGTCAGGCAGGCCTTGGGATTCATTCCCTTCTTCCTCCTGAGAGAGGTGGTGACCCGTATATACACACAGTCACACACACACAGACAAGCAAAGACACAGCCTACACGGTCCTGGCCCCACTGCACGTTACAGCAGCCGGCGGAGGGTGCAGGCTGGCAGCTCCCGGGCCCTTCTCTGGCTTCCTTAGCCCCCCAGCAGTTCCCATGCACTTCAGGGGGTGAAAAGCAGAGGGTGAAAAGGGTAGCAAGGAAACAGACACATGTGTGCACAGTGCAGACCCCCTCCAGGAGGCCAGGAGTGAATGGAGGGGGCAGATGGGAAGGGGCAGGAAAATAGTGGCATCCCGTGTGCCAGACAGGATGTCACACAGGTGGCCTTCTCTTACCTGACCTTTAGCATGACCTTTAGGGCAACCCAGAAGGGTTAGGAGTTCGTTTTCTGTTTTGGGTTTTGTTTTGGTTTGGTTTTTTGGCCGAGTGCGGTGGCTCACACCTGTAATCCCAGCACTTTGGGAGGCTGAGGCCGGTGGATCACAAGGTCAGGAGTTCAAGACCAGCCTGGCCAATATGGTGAAACCTCATCTCTACTGAAAATACAAAAATTAGCTGGGCATGGTGGTGCCCACCTGTAATCCCAGCTACTGGAGAGGATTTTTTTTTTTTTTTTTTTTTTTGAGATGGAGTCTTGCTCTGTCGCCAATGGCACAATCCTGGCTCACTGCAACCTTGGCCTCCTGGGTTCATGTGATTCTCCTGCCTCAAAGCTCTCCCAAGCTCTCCTGACCTCAGGCAATCCACCTGCCTCGGCCTCCCAAAGTGCTGGCATTACAGGCGCGAGCCACCTTGCCCAGCCAAGAATTCGGTACTTTTGTCTCTACTTTGCATTGAGGAAATGGGGAGGGGACGTGACTTGCCCATGACACATACACAGGAGGAAAAGAGGCAGGATTTGGAGCCCTGGAGAGAACCTGGGCCCCTGCCCTTTCCACAAGCAAGATGGCTAGGAAGGGGAGTCCAGGGGACCACAGCTGAGGTCCGGACAGACTCGGGACCTGAGGAAAATACTGATCCTGGGGCAGCCTCCCCACTGTCACGGGGTGGGGGTGGGGGGATCTCCAAGCGCTGCTGTGTGAGGCACTGTGGAGGGCCAGGGAGCAAGGGGCTGCCTTTGGGGACATCCCATCCCTGTGGGGAAGGGGCGCAGGAGGAATGAGATGGGGGGATTGGGACGCAGCACCGCCTCGAGGCCCTTCCTTTCCTGTCTGTCCTTGCAGCCACAGCAAAGGGCTTCCCAGCCCCCAGCTTCCCTAGGGCAGGGTCACTGCACCCACTTACAGATGAGCAAAGCAAGGCTCAGAGTGGTCCTTCAGTGAGAGGGGAACGTCAAGAGGTAGAGGCCTCCAGGCCCACCTAGCAGTGGAGTTTAGCAGCCAGTGGTACTGATGCGAGAGTTTCCCTTGGGGGCTTCCAGTCCTGGTTCCACCGCTGTGTGGCCCTGGACTGGTCTGTAACCTCTCTGTTTGTCTTCAAGATGAGAAATAATTATAGTTCCTACTGCAGCTGGCTTTTATAAATGAACGCCGCTTATAAAGAGCTTCAAACTGGGCCTGGCTCTCAGTAGGGGCTCAATAATATTAGCTGATATCATTATTTTCACTGTAATTATTACTATTTCAATCATCAGCATCGTGCAGCCAGCACCCGTCCTCTGGCACTGCAGGCATAAGTACGCCTGTCCCGGTGACTGTTCAGTCCTCAGGCTTCTCTGGGGCTTTTCTGGGGACTGTCTGCAGAGCTAGGGGGAAGGAGAGAGGGCTCAATGACTCCAGCCCCCAGACACCATGTCCAGTAATCATGTCGATGCCTCTGCCCCAGGTGGTAATTGAGCCAGGAGAAGGTTAATTTAATTGGGGATTGGGCTGGGATGCCAGGAGGCAGAGGCTTGGGTTAACATTAACTGGGCTCCCGAAGAGGTCCGATCGCTAAGAAGGTCAGGCTTTGAAGCAATCCTGCTTCTCAGCCATCCACCCCCGGCAGCACACACGTCACAGCACGGGGGCGGGTGGGGTCACCAAGAGAGAGGAGCTGGGCCCCCAGGCACTATGGCCGGAGCAGATGAGGGTAGCAGCCATGCGTGCCTCCTAGCCCTGCACGCAGCTGCCACACTTTGACACCGCAAGGCAAGCTGACACTGCCCTCTTACAGAGACGGGAGAGCTGACCCCTGTCACACACAGCCAGGATGCAGATGTGGCAGGGGCGTCACTGGAACCAGGTTCTGCTGCCCAAAACAGGCATCCTGTAAGACCTCAGGGGCCATTGGGGAACTGGCATGGAGCCCCCAGTGACCGCCCAGATGCCGCACTGGGGAAGGCTGGCAGCTCGTGTGCCCTCTTCTATCACCCTGACTCTCTGTGGAGCTTGTGGGTGGAAGAGCAAGAGAGCAGTGACCTGGGAGTCCAGAGCAGCCTCTCCTAGAGCCAGAGACCCCTTGGCCTTGGGCTCATCACCTGGCACCTGCCCCTAATTCCTCATGGTGCCACATGTTTTCATGAAATGACAGTGCCCTCGAGAAGGGACTGGGTCGTCAAACGTGTCTCCCTGCAGCTTCCAAGGGCAGGCGGGGAAGTCACATTAAATCAACAGACAGCTTATTCCACACCTCAGGGTCAAACCTCCACATAACAGCAGCCAGCCCACCCAGCACCGAAGACTGCCGTGGAAATCCAAGGAAAGAAAAGAAAGCTCCCTACAAAGTTAGACTTAAACCAAAACAGGAAAGCAGCAACTCTGGGCTGAGGGGACAGAGCTCACATGACCTGAGCCCCCATCATGTGCCAGGCACCAGCACCCCCCCAACTAACAAGACCCACGGTCTCCTTAACCCCGTTCACCTCTCTAAACCCCAGCCCGTGTTACAGAGGAGAGACTGAGGCTCAGAAAGGCTACAGGAATGCTTAAATCATGAAACACAGAAAGTAGCAAAATGGGATTTGAACCAATGGTCTCAGGCTCCCTGCCTGTGGCCATTTTCTATTGTCACATGCACTGACACACTCACATACACACTCACGAAAGCACATGCACCCAGGGGTGGTGGACCTGGCTGGGCTGTGGAGGACAACAGGGACTGGGGAGGTCAGATGGGGGGCTGCAGCATGTCGGGGCAGGGGAACTGCACTCTTCAGGGGGCAGGCCTTAAGGAAAGGGGTCCCACGCCCACTCAGGACGCTGGGAAATGGGGCCTCTTGGGAGGGACCATCCACCCTAAGGCTTCATCCCTACCCCCTTCCCACCCCTCATCCACAGGGGACAAAACCACACCTGGCCACACACCCCTGACATCACACTCACAAACTCCAGCAGAGGAAGCGACTCGCCGCAATACTGTCCCACTGACGTCACCTGCAGCCTGGAGCTTATGTCACACCTGAGGTTCTCACTGATGTCACATACATACTTTTTCCTGAGGTCCCCACAATTACTCCTTTTTCTTTCTGCCTAAGGCTTGATGGCCCAGAGGTGCCCACCTCCCCACACACACAACTGCAGGGCCCCCGGCTCACCAGGACAGCACCGGCGTCTGCACCCCTCTCACGGGACACACATTTGCACACATGTGAACAATCACATGCTCTGCTGGTGGCCCAGACAAGACATGTCCCACAGGTGGCCAGGGGCCACGGGAACAGGAGTATCAGCCAGGCACATACACACCCACACGCACACTCTCCAGTCCCGGCTCATGATGCAGCTCGCATATTAAAACCCTCAGTAACGCCGGCCGTCTTTACCCCACAGCTTCCACCACATTCCTCCAGGTGCTGCCAGAACCCTCCTCCCCCTAGCTTCTCGCCTCCGACAGCCTGGCCTGCTGACAGCGACAGCCGCAGCGCAGACACACACACACACTCTCTAGCCCAACACCTGTGTCTCAGCAAGGGACCAAGGCAGTGCCCTCCAGCCTCAGCTGCTGGGTGGGAGGAGTCCATGGGGAAGGGGCAAGCACAGAGCCCTGAGCTGCAGAAAGTGCCGAGTAACACGTTCCTCCACAGCCGAGTGCACGGTCAGCACCACTGTCCCCTCCTTGGGCACGCCTGACACATCATGGCTTGGTGGCCTCTGTCTTGGACACAAGCTGCCTGAGTGTGTGGGTGCGTGAACACACACACACGCGCGCACACACGCACGAACACGCACACACACACACACGCACACACCCACCAGCTCTCTTCCCTCCAAACATTCGGAGAAAACCCTGCCGGGTCACTGACAGTGTGTGTGTGTGTGTGTGTGTGCGCGCGCGCGCTTGTGTGTATACAGAGAGCAAGGTCCACACACACAGTGTGCACAATCCTCCCCACATGCACACAGCACCTCACCGGCCAACACACCCACCCTTCCCCCCTCTCCTGACAGCTGCTGGAGCCCACACAGGCACACACACACACACTGGCACGCATGCACACGCGCGCACACATACACACACACACCCCCAGCAGTGGCCCTGGCCCCGACAGCTGCAGTCTGAGATTTATGCTGCCTCCCCAGGCTGCCTCCCTCCCTGTCCCTGCCAGCGCCTCTACAAGGTCCCCACCCCCCAATTCTGGTCCTACCAACCCCACCGCCGACAAGCCCCACCCTGGTCCCCCTCCCCCCGAGCAGACATCCACCCCGTCAACCCCTCTTACCAGCTAGAGGATGAATGCCTTGACCCCGCAGCACCCCGTGAAAGAGGGGGGTCAGGGACCCCGATTCGAAAAGATGGGGGCAGAGAGGTGCAGTGTGGCACTGGCTGGCACAGCGTCCACCATCGAGTCTCTGCACCACCCCCAGAAATGCTCACCTCACCGACCGTCCTCCGTGTCCTCCCACCGCCTCCGCCCACCGCCGCCACCACCACCCTCGCGCAGGGTGGTCCCCTGGGGGTCTCACGGGGATCCCCAGACCCAGGAGACACTGGGGGTGGCTCTCCCGGTTTCATGCCCCCTTCCGTGTCCCCCTCCAAGTCCCACCCCCACTGGCGGAGGGGGTGCCCTCCGGCTCCAGCCCCGACTCCCACCGTCTCGCCGGCCGCGGCGCCCGGATCCGGAGGAATTCACTTACCCCAACCTCAGCCCCAGCCGGGTTCCGGGCCAAGCGCCGCCTCCGGGCAGCGGCGGCCGCGGGGCCTGCGCGTGAGTGTGAGTGTGTGTGAGCGCGGGTGTGGGTGCGGGGTGCGCGGCGCCCGGCCGTGGCCCCGTGCGTGGCGCGTGGCCGTGGGGTGGCCCGCGTGTGTCTGTGTGTGTGTCTGGGAGCGCGCCTGTGCGCGCAGACGCCGCCGCCCCCTCCTCCCCGCAGCCGCGCCTCTGCCTGGGCTGGGAGGGCGCCCGGGAGGGGCCGAGCGGCGCGCGTCCGGGGCCGCGGTGGGCCGTGTCCGTCTGTCCGTCTGTCCGTCCCCCGCCCGCGCCGGGCGCCCTCCGCAGGCCTTTCCGCAGCGAGCCCGCTCCCGCCCCCGAGCCGGCCGCACGCTCCATGGACACACGCGCGCTCGCAGACACACGCCCGCAGGGCGGGGGCCGCGCCTGGCGCCGCCGCTGCAGCTGCAGCTGCAGCGCCCGAGGAGGCAGCGGCGGCCCCGCGGAGGCCCGAACCCCGGCCGGGGGCGCCCCCGTACCCCCACCCGGCCCCCTGCGCGGCTCACCCTGCGGGATCCGGGTCTGGGTCCAGCCCGACAGCGCATTCAACAGCTGGGGGCAAACTTGCGGCGGGGCCGCCAAAGGTGCGCCCTCCCCCTGGACTCCACCTCCGCGGATGGGCCCCCTCTCCACCTGGTACCTCCTGGCCCCGCCGCCTGCGCCCTGCTGGTTGGTACCACGCTCAACCGCTGGCGGCTGGGGAAGTGCGGCTGCTGCGTTCCCATTTTACAGGCCAGACAACTGAGGCTCGGAAGGAGGAGTGACTCCTCCAAGGTTACACAGCGAGCCTGCAGACAGGATTAGACTTTATGTTCCCCTAGCTTGTGCCAGGGCGCTCACTGCCTTTCCCCACCCCTCCAGGAGTAGGTCCAGGGGATACTGGGCTCATCTGCAGCCTAGAGAAGCTTCATTAGGCTTTCCAAAGGCCCAGTTCCCCGCCCCTTACACCAAAGCCCCCTGGCCACCTGCTGTCACCTGCAAAGGGATAGATTCTGGGAGGAAGAAGAGGAGGAGGAGGAGGAGGAGGTGGGAAATGCAAGAAGCAATAGGCATCCGGGGCCTATACCTTGGTTCTTCGGCACGCAAGCACCTCCTTCCGGGGCCCTGTGAGCTGCATGTCCGAAGCCTGCCGCCAGCAGGCCCTGTACTTCTCCATCACGTTTATAGGACTGCATGCACCAGCGCCTGTTCTCAGGTGTTGCACCGCAGAAGTGAGGTCCAGGCTGCAGGAACGCCTTGTAGGAGCACATGCCTGTCTGGGATGAGGAGACTCCCCAGAAGAAGCCGCTGCCTGAACTGAATCTTGATGGATGAGTAGGAGTTGGCCAGCCAAAAAAGGAGGAGATGTCCCAGGCTGTGGGAATAGCATGTGCAAAGACACAGAGGCATGAAACAGCTTTGCATGTGTGCACAGGAACTCCATGGAGTTGGGTATTACTGGAGCAGAAAGACCGTCTGTCCAGAAATTCTTCCCTCCTGTCAACTGAGAACAGGGGAACGGCCCAGGATGGGGCTGGGAGGGCAGACAAGCACTGGGACACAGGATACTAGTTGTCCCGGGGTATGGAGGACTATTGGGCGTTCCCCACCTCTGCTCTGCACACCTGCACCCCCCAGGCTGCCTGGCACACTCCTACCCATCCTTCAAGGTCCCTCGCTGCAAACCCAAACAAGCCATATGCTGTCTCTGCCCTTTAAACTGAACCCTCCTAAAGGGCAGGGGTGGTATCCAACACATGGTGTGTGCCCCCAACAAGGCTGGGCAGGAAGCAAGGTCCCAGTCCCAAGACCCTGCGGGAAGAGCCCCTCAGGCAGAACATAACGGCTTGTGCGCCCCCTGGCGGATCCCTCGAGAAACTATAGCATGCTCCCCAATCCCACAGCCCAGCTGCGGCTCTCAGGCCCAGACACTTTCTGAGATGGGCACTGGCAGATGCCCTCTGATCCGATCCTGCCCAAGGAACTGAGCAGTGATGACCCCAAGGAATACCAGGCATCGAGTGGCAAAACAACCTCTTGCGGCTCCGTTTGCAAGACGTTACCAGTCATCTACCAGAGTGCGGGTCACAACCCTCTCAGCCTGTTAGCAAAAGCAGCCCCTCAGCACAATGCCAGACACTCCCTTCTCCCTGGGGACCCCCAGGTCTGGCTGGATTCGAGGGAGGCGGTTTGAAGCTCTAAAACGTTCTAAGAGTCTCCCTTTGGAGACTTTGCCCTTACTGGACAGATGTAAATTGACAAGAGTTTCAGCTCTTAGCTCACTTTCTGCCACCAAAGATGGAGTTGACCTGGTCTGAGGGTCATAGTGGACCACACCATCTAGACACTCGATTGGGCTTTCTCTAGACCATAGTGGAAATGATCCACGTCTGCACTGAGGAAGGCAGTAGCCACTAACTGCACGTGGCTATTGAGTGATTGGAATTGTGGCTAGTGTGGCTGAGGAACTAAATTTCTCATTTTCATTTTTATTAATTTAAATTTAAATAGCCATAATGTGGCTTGTGGCTGCCATGTGAGATAGTGCAGCTCCAGATATATAGCAAGCTCCTTGTTAAAATCAATCCCAGACAGACCTAATGCGCGCGTGCGCGCGCACACACACACACACACACTCTCACACACACACACACACACACACAGAACCCTGAGGACCTGGGGATGCAGGGAGCAGGGAGCTCAGGGGACTGCTTGGAGTCTCTAACTGGATAGGTACAACTGAGACAAACGTGAGCAGTAATGTGTCCATTCCCACCGTCACTGTCCCAGGCCAGCCCTGCTGTCACCTGGATACCTGCAACAAACTCCCTCATCACCCACTCCAGTAGCTCCCCAGAGCCCATGCAGGGAGGCAAATAAGTTCTCTTTCTCACGACAAATGATTGGCAGCAGCTGCCTAGAGGTTCTCGCCCTTTGCAAAAAATGGCATGATCGATTGGTGATGTCTGCCTCAGGTATAAATACAGCGATGAAGGGAAGCCTTCTCTGCTACAGGATAAAATCCTAAGTCATTTATTTATTTACTTATTTTTGAGACGGTGCCTCTGTCTGTCACCCAGGCTGGAGTGTAGTGGCGCAATCTCCACTCACTGCAACCTCCACCTCCTGGGTTCAAGCGATTCTCCTGCCTCAGCCTCCCACCTGTAGCTGGGATTACAGGTGCGCCACCAAGCCTGGATAATTTTTGCGTTTTTAGTAGAGATGGAGTTTCACCATGTTGGCCAGGCTGGTCTCAAACTCCTGACCTCAGGTGATCCTCCCGCCTCGGCCTCCTAAAGTGCTGGGATTACAGGCATAAGCCACCGCATCCAGCCAAAAATCCAAACTCTTTCATGTGCCCAAATAAGGCCCTTTGCAGTTGGTCCTTATTTACTCCTCTAGTGTAGTCAACATCACCCCACGTATGCTCTGGGTCCTAGCAACACCAATGTTTGCCCTTTCCAGACCATGCCCCGAATCTCACACCCATCGTCTTCACACCTTTGTGCTTTTGATCCTGTCTCTTGACCTGGGAAGCCTTTCCTCCTCTCAGATCCCTTCCCTGCCTGTCCACTTTCTACCTGTCCTCAGGTACTGCTTACAGGCCACCTCCTCAGTGAAGCCTCCCCTGACCACTCCTAAGCCAGGCTGGCTGAGCTACTTCTTCCTCCACTGGCTCCCAGAACACTCTGCGGAGGCCTCAGTGACAGCACACACCACATCGTGTCATTGTTCATTCTCTGTGTGACTACCTCCCCTGGCTTATTCTTTGCTTGGTCACCCCTATCAAGTAGCTACCAGGTGTCAGGGGCTCACTCAGGAACAGGCACTGTGCAGGGCCATTTACACACACTATTCTTATTAATAAGCCTCTTCTGGGCACACAGCATCCACCCTGCTTCCCGCCAGCACCCCAATTTCTCCTCTCCTGGCCACCATGTATGGTCTGGGAGGCATGTGAATCCAGGTACCTCTTCCCGCCCTCAGCTGGGCTAATTGCACTGTGGGTAGAGTGATCGTGGGCAGGAAGAATAGCCGGAGCACAGCCATCCCAGAAATGTCAGTGCCAGATGACATGGGTGGGCTGGGCCCCTGCCCTGCATACCAGAAAGAACCCCGTCTGCTCAGGCATCCCTCAGTGGTACACAGGAGCTGCCATGACTCACAGCTCACCAGAAATTGCCCTTTATTTTCAAGGTGAAACAAGCATGGCCCACATCCAAAGGACCCCCGGCCCTGGCCACATCACCAGGAGGACATTTTTTCCAGAAAGTCTTTCTTTCTTACAGGGCTTAGAGAAAAGAGAAGCAAGAGTGAGAGGAACACAGAAATACCAAAAGCCTCATGCATTGTTTAAGGTGAATAACAAGATTTACCCTTTGTACTTAGGTAAAATCTTTTTCACTTGGTCTCCGTGGCATTTTGAGTTGACGCTAAGAAAATTAGGTTAAGTGATTCTTTCAGAGACACACACACACACACACACACCAGAGCTTGTTTGAGGTGTCACATTCCTGCTTTGGATCCAGACCTAAAATCTCATTTCTGCTGTGCCTCCAGTGCTGGAACTGAGGACACCAGCTCGTTGAGGACAGGAGCCAGTGGTGAGACAGAGGCCTGAAGGAAGAGATGGGCCTGGAAGGAAAAGTGTTCCTGGAACCATCCCAAGTGGAGTAGGAAGGGATGGGGGCTGAGATACCTTCTTGGAAAAGTGGGCCCTCTTATCTAGGGGCATTTTGTTTTTCTGGTCACTGTGACAGGTCAGGACATGCAAGGGTGAAGGTAGTTGTCAGATGCTGGGGCGTGGGGGAGAATGAGTAGGAGAGAGAAGAGACTCACAGGTCAGGAAGAAGGTGAGGGGAGGGAAGCTTCCCCGCCCCCGCCCCCAAGAGGCCTGATTGCAAAGGGATTGTGAAGAACACATTCATTTCTTTTTTCTTTTATTTATGTATTTATTTTTTTGAAATAGAGTCTCTCTCTGTCGTCCAGGCTGGAGTGCAGTGGCACAATCTTGGCTCACTGCAACCTCTTCCTCCCAGGTTCAAGTGATTCCTCTGCCTCAGCCTCCCGAGTAGCTGGGATTACAGGTGCCCGCCACCACACCTGGCTGATTTTTTGCATTTAGTAGAGACGGGGTTTCACCATGTTGGCCAGGATGGTCTCCATCTCCTGACCTCGTGATCCACCCACCTCGGCCTCCCAAAGTGCTGGGATTCCAGACGTGAGCCACCACCACACACATTTCTAGAAAGGATTTTGTCATTCTTTTGCTGTGGTGTGCACAGTACAAGCCCCCTCCCACACTTCGGTCTCCCCTACCACCTCCTTTCTCCCACCCGCTTCGGACAAATCTGTGTGTTTCTCATATGAGTCATTTATTGCTTTGTAATGAATTACCTCAAAACTCAGTGGCTTAAATCTGCAAAAAGCCATGCTTCTTATTTCACAGTTTCTGTAGTCAGGCATTGGGAGAGGGTGATTCAGCCTTGGAACGTCTCATACACTTGCAGTCAAGATATTTGGCTGGGGCTCCACTGATCTGAAGGCTGGACCGGGGCCGGTGGATCTGCTTCTGAAATGCTTCGCTCACGCGGCTGGCAGGTTGGTGCTGGCTGTTGGTGGGGTGCCTCTGTCACATGGACCTCTCCAGAGGACTGGTTGAGCATCTTCACAACATGGCAGCTGCCTTCTCCAGAGTGAGAACAAGTAGGAAGCCTGTGTCTCTTATGACCTGTCCTCAGAAGTAACACACTAATTTTTGCTTTCTTGTTTTTGTTTGTTCCACAGATCTGGCCCATTCATTGCAGCGAGGAGACCACATGGGGGGTGGAGCCCAGGAGGGCGGGGCCAGTGGCTTTGAGATCAATCAGTTAGGTTTGGTGAAGTGGAGGAAGTTCTATGTTCTGCAACCGGACTAGCAAAGATGAAAACAGAACTAGAGACGTGGCTGCCAACACAGGATGGCCTGATTCCTTAGGAGGCTCTGAGAGGCTGTGGTCGTCATTGTCTATGGGCCAAGGGCAGTTCAAGGCTGTGGTGTGTAAAGAATGTACATAAACACCCTAACGCTGGACAAGAATCAAGGGTGGCTGAGGATGTGGCCCCAATGAGAGGGTACCTATGAGGGCCAGAGGACAGGGCCACACTCTGGGGGATATTTTGAAGTGTCCAGATAGA